GGGGCAGTCCTGGCATTGTGGTATGAAGGGGCAGTCCTGGCATTGTGGTATGAAGGGGCAGTCCTGGCATTGTGGTATTACTGGGGGCAGTCCTGGTATTGTGGTATTAGTGGGGACAGTCTTGGTATTGTGGTATTACTGGGGGCAGTCCTGGTATTGTGGTACTAGTGGGGGCAGTCCTGGTATTGTGGTACTAGTGGGGGCAGTCCTGGCATTGTGGTATTAGTGGGGGCAGTCCTGGTATTGTGGTATTAGTGGGGGCAGTCCTGGTATTGTGGTATTAAGGGGCAGTCCTGGTATTGTGGTATTACTGGGGGCAGTCCTGGTATTGTGGTATTAGTGGGGGTACTCCTGGTATTGTGGTATTAGTGGGGACAGTCTTGGTATTGTGGTATTAGTGGGGGCATTCCTGGTATTGTGGTATTACTGGGGGCAGTCCTGGTATTGTGGGGTACTAGTGGGGGCAGTCCTGGTATGAAGGGGCAGTCCTGGTATTGTGGTATTACTGGGGGCAGTCCTGGTATTGTGGTATTAGTGGGGGCACTCCTGGTATTGTGGTATTAGTGGGGACAGTCTTGGTATTGTGGTATTAGTGGGGGCATTCCTGGTATTGTGGTATTACTGGGGGCAGTCCTGGTATTGTGGTACTAGTGGGGGCAGTCCTGGCATTGTGGTATGAAGGGGCAGTCCTGGTATTGTGGTATTAGTGGGGGCAATCCTGGTATTGTGGTATGAAGGGGCAGTCCTGGTATTGTGGTATTAGTGGGGGCAGTCCTGGTATTGTGGTATTAGTGGGGACAGTCTTGGTATTGTGGTATTAGTGGGGGCAGTCCTGGTATTGTGGTATTACTGGGGGCAGTCCTGGTATTGTGTTATGAAGGGGCGGTCCTGGTATTGAGGGTATTAGTGGGGGCAGTCCTGGTATTGTGGGTATTAGTGGGGGCAGTCCTGGTATTGTGGTATTACTGGGGGCAGTCCTGGTATTGTGGTATGAAGGGGCAGTCCTGGTATTGAGGTATTAGTGGGGGCAGTCCTGGTATTGTGGTATTAGTGGGGGCAGTCCTGGTATTGTGGTATTAAGGGGCAGTCCTGGTATTGTGGTATTAAGGGGCAGTCCTAGGAGTAGGCAGTCTGGATGAGATGAGATTTTTGTGCAGACTGAATTAAGCCCTCAGCTGAGCGATGAACAGAGTGTGAGCAGGAGGTATGTGAATGTTGCTATGTAAACGTGTATACAGAAGGTTAGTGAATACAGTATGTATATTAGTTTGTATATTGTGTGAATATGTAATAATAGGGGATCTATATGTGAATTTTTAAAAAGTATTAATGGGATTATATATTCCTCTTCACATTCTGCACACACACAGTTGTTAGTGTGCACATTGTATGTATATGGTTGTAGCATGTTTATAGGTGCACTGTTTGTGTACATTGTACCTATGTGAGTTCTGTGTATATGTGTGAGTATACATTGTATGTGCACTCAGTGTATGCGGGTAACTGTGTATATGTGTACATTGTGTATGTGTGCGTTGCATGACAGTGGGTTCTGTGTATATGTGTACATTGTGTATGTGTGCGTTGTATGATAGTGGGTTCTGTGTATATGTGTACATTGTGTATGTGTGCATTGTATGACAGTGGGTTCTGTGTATATGTGTACATTGTGTATGTGTGCATTGTATGATAGTGGGTTCTGTGTATATGTGTACATTGTGTATGTGTGCATTGTATGATAGTGGGTTCTGTGTATATGTGTACATTGTGTATGTGTGCATTGTATGACAGTGGGTTCTGTGTATATGTCTACATTGTGTATGTGTGCATTGTATGATAGTGGGTTCTGTGTATATTGTTACATTGTGTATGTGTGCGTTGTATGACAGTAGGTTCTGTGTATATGTGTACATTGTGTATGTGTGCATTGTATGACAGTGGGTTCTGTGTATATGTGTACATTGTGTATGTGTGCATTGTATGATAGTGGGTTCTGTGTATATGTGTACATTGTGTATGTGTGCATTGTATGATAGTGGGTTCTGTGTATATGTGTACATTGTGTATGTGTGCATTGTATGACAGTGGGTTCTGTGTATATGTCTACATTGTGTATGTGTGCATTGTATGATAGTGGGTTCTGTGTATATTGTTACATTGTGTATGTGTGCATTGTATGACAGTGGGTTCTGTGTATATGTGTACATTGTGTATGTGTGCATTGTATGATAGTGGGTTCTGTGTATATGTGTACATTGTGTATGTGTGCGTTGTATGATAGTGGGTTCTGTGTATATGTGTACATTGTGTATGTGTGCGTTGTATGACAGTGGGAATTTTGTATGTGTGTGTGTAGCGGAGCTCCGATACCACGACTAGGTATCTCCACTATTCCTTCCTCGAAGCTGAAAGAAGCCGTATAATAATCCAAGACACTTTCCCCCAGCAACTAGACGACACATAGTTCTGGGTGTCAACTGATTTTATTTTGGCCACACACAGCTTTTATGCACTGACCCCCAGCATGGGGTTTCCATATCAAAGTTACCTGGGTTTTACTCCCAGGAGTCTCTTTTCTGAGAGATAATTGAGTGAGAAAATTATAACTCAATTATCTCTGTTACAGGAAAACATACAATATTTCTAAACACCCCAAAAATACATATTAATAACATAGGAACCCCACGAAAGTCATATCACCGAATAACTTGCGTTTGAGCACCCACTTCGGTTGTTTGGAATCGCCATTGCAATTAAGTTTTGACCAGTCGGCCATGAGGTGATTTTCCAAAATATTTCCACAGAAAACAAGGCAACGCTCGGTCATATTTTGGGGGTCCTCACACAAACATCGACGAATGCTCCCCCTGACTATTAGCGAGCGAATGCTCCCCCTGTTCGGTAGTTCATGCCTCCCGAATGCCGTTCTCCTAATTGTTTGGGAAGTTGGAAGGGCAGCGGTACAAGTTCCCCGGGTGTTCGCAAGGTCGCATATCCGAGATACAGTTCCATGACGTTGGCGATCATGTACCACTACTGTGCGTTCGGGAGACAAAATGGCTGCCAATTCTTGGAGCACATAGATTTGGTTATACGAACAGCAGCCACACGGGGAAAGCACTTGAACTGATTGCTCATTTGTGGTTAACAGCCAGGGGTGGTCGGTGATTAGGTGTTAACAAGGGGACCACACAGAGTTGGTTTAGTAACCGAACGGGGGGTGTACGGGCAGCCGAACAACCAGGAATAAAAGTGTCTTTAGGGCATCCATTCCGCTACAGTGTACATAGTGTATGTGTCCATTGTATGACAGTGAGTTCTGTGTATATGTGTACATTTTGTATGTGTGCATTGTATGACAGCGGGCTGTGTGTATGTGTGCGTTGTATGACAGTAGGTTCTGTGTATATGTGTACATTGTGTATGTGTGCATTGTATGAGAGTGGGTTCTGTGTATATGTGTGCATTGTGTATATGGGCATTGTATGATAGTGGGCTCTGTGTATATGTTTACATTGTGTATGTGTGCATTGTAGGATAGTGGTTTCTGTGTATATGTGTACATAGTGTATGTGTGCATTGTATGATAGGGGGCTGTGTGTATATGTGTACATAGTGTATGTGTGCATTGTAGGATAGTGGGTTCTGTGTATATGTGTACATTGTGTATGTGTGCATTGTATGATAGCGGGCTGTGTGTTTATGTGTACATTGTGTATGTGTGCATTGTATGATAGTGGGTTCTGTGTATATGTGTACTATGTGTGCATTGTATGATAGGGGGCTGTGTGTATATGTGTACATTGTGTATGTGTGCATTGTATGATAGTGGGTTCTGTGTATATGTGTACATTGTGTATGTGTGCGTTGTATGATAGTGGGTTCTGTGTATATGTGTACATTGTGTATGTGTGCGTTGTATGACAGTGGGAATTTTGTATGTGTGTGTGTAGCGGAGCTCCGATACCACGACTAGGTATCTCCACTATTCCTTCCTCGAAGCTGAAAGAAGCCGTATAATAATCCAAGACACTTTCCCCCAGCAACTAGACGACACATAGTTCTGGGTGTCAACTGATTTTATTTTGGCCACACACAGCTTTTATGCACTGACCCCCAGCATGGGGTTTCCATATCAAAGTTACCTGGGTTTTACTCCCAGGAGTCTCTTTTCTGAGAGATAATTGAGTGAGAAAATTATAACTCAATTATCTCTGTTACAGGAAAACATACAATATTTCTAAACACCCCAAAAATACATATTAATAACATAGGAACCCCACGAAAGTCATATCACCGAATAACTTGCGTTTGAGCACCCACTTCGGTTGTTTGGAATCGCCATTCCAATTAAGTTTTGACCAGTCGGCCATGAGGTGATTTTCCAAAATATTTCCACAGAAAACAAGGCAACGCTCGGTCATATTTTGGGGGTCCTCACACAAACCTCGACGAATGCTCCCCCTGACTATTAGCGAGCGAATGCTCCCCCTGTTCGGTAGTTCATGCCTCCCGAATGCCGTTCTCCTAATTGTTTGGGAAGTTGGAAGGGCAGCGGTACAAGTTCCCCGGGTGTTCGCAAGGTCGCATATCCGAGATACAGTTCCATGACGTTGGCGATCATGTACCACTACTGTGCGTTCGGGAGACAAAATGGCTGCCAATTCTTGGAGCACATAGATTTGGTTATACGAAC